GAGCTAGAAAATACTGAGGATAAGCCTGAAAATAGTAAGGGTGAGCTAGAAAATACTGGGTATGAGCTAGAGAATATTGGGAATAAACTAGAAAATATAAGGGATGAGCTAGAAAATATAAGGGAAGAAGTTAAAAATACTGGGCATGAGCTAGAAAGTATTAAAGATTAACTAGAAATCAATAGGAATAATATTTTCTAGCTCATCCCCGGTATTTTTTAAGCAAATCCTTAAAATTTTATTGGTCATCCCTGGTAGTTTCTAGCTCATCCGTAATTATTTCTAGGACATCCCCAGTACTTTTTACTTTATCCCTATTGTTTTTTCTAGCTCATGTAGTATTTTCTTGCTCATCCCCTGCATTCTCTTGCTCAACCCTAATAGTTTAAAAATCATCACCAGTATTTTCTAGCTCATCTGTAATATTTTCTAGCTCGTCAATAGTATTTACTAGCTCATTCCTAATATTTTCTAGCTCATCCTCAGTATTTTCTATATTATTCCTATTAATTTCTAGCTGATCTTTAATACTTTCTAGCTCAAGCCCAGTATTTTTTTACTTCTTCCCTAATATTTTCTAGCTCATTCCCAGTATTTTCTAGCTCATCCATAATATTTTAAAGCTTATCCTCAGCATTTTCTAGCTCACCCATAACATTTTCTAGATCATTCTCAGTATTTTCTAGAACATCCCTAATATTTTGTAGCTCACCCCTAATATTTTATAATTCATCCCCAGTATTTTCTAGCTTATCGCCAGTATTTTTTTTGATGATCCCTATTTAGATTCTATTTCTAGCTTATCGCTTATCCCCATTATTATTTGTAGTTTAACAACAATATTTTCTATCTGATCCCTAATATTTTCTAGCTGATCCCGAATATTCCCCCACTATTTTTAGGTCATTCCAAGTATTTTATAGATTATCCCTATTCTTTTCTAGCAGATTCCTAATATTTTGTTTTGTAGCTCATCCCCAGTATTTTATAGCTCATCCTTAATATTTTATAGGCCATCCCCTGTAGTTTGTAGCTCATCCGTACTTGTGTCTAGGTCATCCCCAGTCCAGTAGTTTTTACTTTATCCCTAATATTTTCTAGATCATCCGTATTTTATTCTAGCTCATCCACAATATTCTCAAGCTCAACCCTTATTATATGTTCTAGCTCATCCCAGTATTTTCTAGTTAATCTTTAGAATTTTCTAGGTTATCCTCAGTAGTTTCTAGTTCACCCGTAGTTGTTTTTAAGGCATCCCCAGTATTTTTTACTTCATCCCTAATATTTTCTAGCAGCTCATCTGTAATATGTTCCAGCTCATCCCCAGTTTTCTCTAGCTCACCGCTATCATTTTTTTTTAGCTCATCCTCAATATTTTCTAGTGCATCCCTATCATTTTACAGCTCATTCCCAATAGCTTCTAGTTCAACTGTAGGCCTAATTGTTTCTGGGTCATCCCTAGTAATTTTTTACTTCGTCACTAATATTTTCTAATACATTAGTAATATTTTCTAGCCTATACCCAGTATTTTTTAGATTATTCCTGTTTATTGTTCAACTGTAGGCCTAATTGTTTCTGGGTCATCCCTAGTAATTTTTTACTTCGTCACTAATATTTTCTAATACATTAGTAATATTTTCTAGCCTATACCCAGTATTTTTTAGATTATTCCTGTTTATTTCTAGCTCATCTTTAATATTTTCTAGCCGCATTCCCTGTATTTTATACATTTGTATCCCCTGTATGTTATAGCTCAACCCTAAGCAAAATTTAAAGATTTTTAGACTTTTCTCGCACAATTTTTAAAAGTGCAAAATGAGCCATTTTTAAACGTGACCTACACAAAAGAAAATGGCCAAAAACTCACACTGGTAACATATTCCCCAATCTGTTGGTTACGGTAATTATTTATTATCTGAACAGCAGAATCTGAACAAATGTTTTTCTAATTTGATTTTTGGATTTACAGCATTTTTAACATATTTTAATTAGGACCACCTGGTAGTTTAACGCCCCCTTTCAACACTGTAGGGTTATTTTTTAAAATACATGTATCGTTGTCCAAGAGATGGAGGAATATGTGACATCGTTTGTGATCAGTGTGAGTTTTTTGGCCATTTTCTTTTGTGTACTTCACGTTTAAAATGGCTGATTTGGCACTTTTGAAAAATGTGCGCGAAAAGTTTTTAAAATCTCTAAATTTTGCCTGAATCTTATTTTAAATTTACATAAATGATTAATTTGATCAGGGGGTTTTAATGATTCATTATTTGAAAAGCAGGATCTATACATTGGTATAAATTTGTTTTTCCAACTAGATCTAGATCTAGATCTAGCATTTCTTATTTGCAGCTTTCAATTTAAAAAAATAATAAAATTGGACCACCTGGTTTAACGCCCCCTTTCATCACTGTAGATTTTTTTTTTTATATACTTTGAAATATCGTTGTCCAACAGATGGGGGATTATTATATATGTGACCAGTGAGAGTTTTCGGCTATTTTCTTTTGTGTAGATCACGTTTAAAAATTGAAGTGTCCAGGTAGGCCTAGTGTATCTCCGCCAATTCACAGGCGAGTAGTCAAGACCAAGAGTCGCTCTTCGGTCATTCGCCCACCAGGCCACCACTATATCTAATCCAGAATCTAGATATAATCTAGATTTTTTCAAGATCTAATATCTAGATATCTAGATATAGATCTAGATCTAGACCTAATCTAGATCTAGATAATCTAGATCTAGATATCTACATCTAGATCTAGATTCTAGATCTACAGATCTAGAATCTAGATTCTTTCTCTAGATCTTCTAGATCTGAATTTAGATTTAGATCATCTACTTTCCGAACTGCACACTCTTGGCTGGGTGCACAACAAATACGTTTATTCATTTAATATTCTCTCTCTCTCTCTCTCTCTCTCTCTCTCTCTCTCTCTCTCTCTCTTTCTCCCTCTCTCTCTCTCTCTCTCTCTCTCTCTCTCTCTCTTTCTCCCTCTCTCTCTATTTATCTCTCTCTCTCTATTTATCTCTCTCTCTCTATTTATCTCTCTCTCTCTCTCTCTCTCTCTCTCTCTCTCTGGGCTAAAATAAATAAATTATAGTAACACTAGATAGGTCTAGGCATATCCAAGACGGATTAAGACTCCGTCTTGGGACAATAGGGACGCCCGAGATGATCAGTAGCCTTGCATTGTATGTAACCAACGTAAACTACCGCTCGCTCAGCGAGCCAATCACAATCCAACATTTTTGGGGTCCACCTAGACACCATGACTACGTAGTCCCCAATTGGGGTCTACCTAGACACTTCCTTTAAGAATTATCAATTTCTGGGCCACCTAGTTTAACGCCCCCTTTCAACATTGTAATATATTTGTAAAAATACTTTGAAATATCATTGTCTAAGAGATGGGGGAATCTATGGCTAGAGTGAGTTTTAGGCCATTTTCTTTTGTGTAGGTCTTGTTTAAAAGTTTCTGACTTGGTACTTTTGAAAAATGAGCGCGAAAGGTCAAGAAGTTTGTAAATTTTGCTTGTATTTTATTTTGAATTTATATACTTAATTTGACCCGGGGATTTTAATTATTCATTAATTTAAAAGCAGGAACTAAAATATTTATTTTACGAACTTGGATTTTTTATTAACAGCATTTAATTATTTTTTTATATGGACCACCTAGTTTAACTTTAACGCCCCCTTTCAACACTCTAAAGTTATTTTTGAGGCTGAACCCCCCCAGAATAGGTAGCGTTTATCTCTGACAAGACTGAGTCAGTTGTGTGAAGAATCATCATCATCATCATCATGATCATGATCATCATCATCATTATCATCATCATCATAGCCTTTCTTCCTCACCCAGCACTAAGGTAATACTAATAATAGGCCTTGGACAAATACTTTCCACTTTTTTCTATCCTGGGTTAGCCTCTTGATGTTTTTCCATATCTTCCCACTTTTCTGTACATCAATTTCTGGGAGTCTTGTCCAGGTTCCACGTGGTCTTCCCCTTGGAAAACCATATATAGTGATAGCATAATAGTTACAAAGCCTATAGAGCATGTGGCAGAGTGTGGACAAGAGCGTCCTTATCCTTATCTCCCCTCCTTCATTTTTTTGTGTTTGTTACTCTCTTGTAACACCTCTAATCTTCTGGCACTCATATAATGACCTTATGCAGTTGCGAGTGCCGTAAAACCTCTACTGAAACAAATAAATGCAATGGATATTGTCATTGTCTTTGATTATTAAAAAAACAAAACTACACAAGTTCAAAACCCTTTTCCTGCATGAGGAATCGAACAACGACCACTCACTTTGTAGTCCAGTAATTGTTGCATACAAACAAACAAAAACATAATATTTATTATTATAGTAGCGGGTTTTACAGTGCTTGCAACTGCATAAGGTCATATGAGCGCCAAGGGGTGGGTGTCAACAGAGAAGTTTTACAGGGAATCAGACTTAGACTGCTCACCTCTCTAGCTTCAACAGCACAAGATCTGCTTTGACTATCTAGGCACCCCGGAAATAGCAGGTCACAAGAGAGTGACAAACATACAAAAGAAGTAGAGGAAAATGACAATAGTAAGGATCAGGAAAGAAAAAGCAGCAGTTCCCTGTTGTAGATCAGGCACAGTTATGAGCATGACATGAGTCCGCCCATTTACAATATTCTACTATGCTTAAATGAGAAATGTCCCCCCTTTAGGAATAGCCTAAAGACACTACAGTCAGTGGCACTGCCCCGGAGGGTAATAGAACTTTGTAGTCCAGTAATTGTTACATACAAACAAACAAAAACATTTAAATAACAGAACTAACAATAATTGACACATACAAACACACAAAAACATTTAAATAACAGAACTAACAATAATTGCTACATACAAACAAACAAAAACATAATATAACAGAACTAACACTAATTGTCACAAACAAACAAACAAACAAACAAATAATATATATATAACAACAGAATCAAGCAGACTCTGAAAAGAAAATTCCAAATATTGCTTTAATGATGTCACCATGGGGGAAATACAAAAACAGCAACAAACAAAGGCAACAGAAAGTTGGAACAAAAACAAAACAGAAAAATCTCAGACTAACTGATTAATAAAATGCACCTTGAAGAAACTATTACACGGGTGAGAGGGAAATCATATTTCTGTCAGCAGCCTATATAGGTTCAATATCTTTTTTAAAAAATATTAGCGAGATGGAAGATTTGATTCAGTGCTCTACACAGCACTCTCACAGTCCTAGAAGCTCACAGTTCAGAAATATAGGAACAAAAAAATATACATACAAAAAAATTACTTTTCAGTCAGCAAATTTAGCAGTCTCTGTGATTGCATTTATTAGTAAGTAACTACAATAAAGGAAGAAGTGTCCGGAGTTCTCCGATTCTAAAAATGAACAAAGTGCCCCACAAACAAACAACTCCATTCTTTAGCTTAATGTTGTAAACAATTGATTCATTTCTTTGTATAAAGTTGTAGCGTTCAACACTTTATATTATAGACCTCTCAGTTGTCTACTCATATCTTACACCCAGCACACACACCCAATAAATTTATCTGATTGAGTCACAGCCAGCAAGACTTCCTGTCATGGATGTGGTAAAAGCTACCATTTTACCAAAAATTCAACCACATCAACTAAATTCAACTGTGACCTTCAACATCAAACGTGTAGTTTTTATTAAGTCACCAATCAAATCGGTCGTATAGTGCCAAAATGGTAGCTTTTGCTCCTCCATGGAGGAAAAATCTGGCTCGCCCTGACTCAGTTCTGTTGAATCCGACTGACAGTGTGTACTGGAGATAAAATGACAACATTCCATACACTGATCAAAGTAACTCATAGGTCGCTCACACAGACGCAACATTTTTTGGACGTCTCTTATTTACCACCGATAGACAATAGAGAACTGACTGTGTGTTAGTTACACTCTTCTTGTAGCACTGAATGCCATATTATATTGTTCTAAAAATATCCATTTGATACAGTATCCACGCCAAAAGATACCTCTCCAAAAGGTAGTAGAATCATTTGAATGGTGACTGGTGGGATGTGACTGGACCTAAACCACTGAACCTGTAGAGTCCGCAGAATTGCCCCTACTGCCATAAAAGTAATAATAGAATTACTCCTCTATTGTCATTAAAGTAATAATAGAATTACTCCTATTGTCATTAAAGTAATAATAGAATTACTCCTATTGTCATTAAAGTAATAATAGAATTACTCCTATTGTCATAATAGAATTACTCCTATTGTCATAATAGAAATAATAAAATTACTCCTATTGCCACAAAAGTAATAATAGAATTACTCATATTTTAATAATATAATTACTCATATTGTCATAAAAGTAATAAAAGAATTACTCCTACTGAAATATTAGTAATAATAGAATTACTCCTAATAATAGAATTACTCCTATTGTCATAAAAGAAATAATAGAATTACTCCTATTGTCATAAAAGAAACAATTCCTATAGCAATAATAGAATTACTCCTACTGAAATAGTAGATTTACTTCTATTGTTTCCCATTCTCAACTAGTACAAAAGTTATGGCAGACCAGTGTGGTCATGTCATATTATAGTGATTGTCATAAAGGCGGAGGAAAATAGCGTAAGTCTCATCTGCCACTGAGGTAAACGCCAGTACATTATTGGCAAACAGCATCATATTCAAATGTATCATCTGATCCTTTCTCTGGCTACATCTGGAAACAGAGCAGAGGGTTAAAGTTACAGAAAGAGTTAAAGAGTTAAAGCTGGTACCTGCACCTCAGTAATCAAACAAAGCTGACAAATAATAAAACAAACAAGTTTCTCTAGGTAAAATAAGATAGTAAAGTATAACACGAATAAGTCGACACAGAAGACTCAAAATCACGCATCAGCCGAACTGAGCCTGCGGTCCCGTATTTTTTTTCTTCTTTTCTTCTTTATCTTTGTAAGATATCCCTCCAACTAGGGATTCCTCGAACTACCAAGGCCGGTCCGGACGAATACGAGCTATCCGTGTTACACTCTACATGATTACATGAGCTGACGTTTCAATCCTATTTATTCCATCTCTCCACACTATTGCTCACAGCCTCTCAGAACTTATCTAGACAGATCTACTATTACTATACAGTTTGTCCCCTTCTCTGAGATCCCCTCTCATGAAACGCTCACTGAAGGAAGACGCTACCTTAGTGAACATTATGTATCACAACATTTAGAATTATGGAGACCAAAGGTTGAATATTTCTCATAGAATTCACAGCTCTCTAGTCACAAACTGTCCTCTCCCCAACTATTGTATTGTTAAAGCCACAAATTCAACACTTTACTGTACTTTACACCATTAACCAAACGTTTGCTGGCTCTCCTAGTGTCCTCATGGTAATACTCAGAGGAAAGTAGATCTGATTATTACGCACATTATACACGTTTTCATACATGAAATATCACTTTCAGCTCATCGCTCTCGAAACAAATTCGATTCATTCCCAATTAACTTTGTCAACAATAAACATAGCCTAAGACCTGCCTGTTCCACTGCTTGCTATTTTCTCTTTTCTATCTCTCGCTATTTCTCTTTTCTATCTCTCGCTATTTCTCTTTTTTATCTCTCGCTATTTCTCAATTCTATCTCTCGCTATTTCTCTTTTCTATCTCTCGCTATTTCTCTTTTTTATCTCTCGCTATTTCTCATTTCTATCTGTCACTATTTCTCAATTCTATTTGTCACTATTTCTCAATTCTATCTCTCGCTATTTCTCAATTCTATCTGTCACTATTTCTCAATTCTATCTGTCTCTAATCTTTTCCTTTGTCTCTCACTGTTTCTCTCTTAAAACCAGTATACATATATCCAATTTCTAGCAAAAACAACTACACAAACAAAAAAGACTCTGGATATCCTATCCACACCAAAACCTCAAATCTTAACCTAACTACCTCCAGCCCGCTGCAAAAACTCATCAAACAAAACAAAACACGGCCCAGAAACTACAGCAGCTTCTGCCTACACAAAGCAGTGCACCTATCCGTACATTCACTTATCCGTGCAATGCTAACAGCATGAACTTATCCAAGCAATTATCTATCTGCGCAGTGCTAACAAGGTGCACTTATCCGTGGAGTGCTAACACTGAGCACCTATCCGTGCATTCACCTATCCACGTAGTGCTACACAGTGCACCTATCCGTGCCCCTATCCTTGCATTCACCTATCCACGAAGAGCTAACACCATTCACCTATCCGTGCATTCCTAACACCGTGCACCTATAAATGTGCATCTATTCGCGGAGTGCTAACACCATTCACCTATCCGTGCATTCACCTATCCGGGCATTCACCTATTCGTGCATTCATCTATCCGGGCATTCACCTATTCGTGCATTCACCTATCCGGGCATTCACCTATCCGGGCATTCACCTATCCGTGCATTCACCTATCCGGGCATTCACCTATCCGTGCATTCATCTATCCGGGCATTCACCTATTCGTGCATTCACCTATCCGGGCATTCACCTATCCGGGCATTCACCTATCCGTGCATTCACCTATCCGGGCATTCACCTATCCGTGCACCTATCCCGTGCCTACAGAAGGAGTACAAAAAAGCAGAGGGCAGGAGGAGGGCACGCAGCCAGGAAGGTCAAACACAGGCTTTCTACGACTTATCTACACACACCTACACAGACAAAGGGAAATCAAGCCAGCCATGTACGTAGCGTCCTTAGCAACATTTTCAAGCGTCGTCAAATAAACCAATAAAGTGGCAGACAAAATTTAATCGAAACGCAAATCTGTTTCCACCTCTTTAGGTAAAAGATAAAATGGCAGCGGACCGTAAAATGAAACATGACATGAATCATTTCCTTCTTTGCTTCGTAAAATAATAAAATGGCAGACCATTATCAGATGAAATATTATTTATATGAAAGAGTGAATCGTTTCCTTCGATGAAAACATTGCAACAGTGTCATCATCATCATCATGATCATCATCATCATCATCATACACAAAGGTGCTTAGAAAGCCATACATAATGCTGCTTGCAGGAAGGACAGTGTTCTTCGTATCATCGTACGCCACGTGTCAACACCAATATCAACAAGAAAAAGGCAAAAGGGGGATGTGTTTTTCTCCTCATTTGAGTGGGTAAAATCAAAATAAATAGGTGCATCTTTCCATCATGTGTTAGGGAAGCGATCAGCCTGCGTGACAGAAAAACAAATCACCAGGGAGAGAGGCTTTGGGGAACTGGCAAAAATATACACAAACTGCACTTGATACACACGATTTGCATCATCAGGTCAGTGCAATGGAAAATGAATTATCACCAATTTCTTGAGCTTTCTTGTGAAAAAGGTACACAGAATTTTTCTTTTTAAAGAGAGAGAGAGAGAGAGAGAGAGAGAGAGAGAGACAGAGAGAGAGAGATAGAGAGAGAGAGAGAGTGTGTGTGTGAGAGAGGGAGCGCGAGTGAAAGAAAGCATTGCATTAAGAGGGGGGGAGAGAGAGAAAGAGAGGGAGAGAGACGAAGAAAAAGAAAGGAAACAGAGAGACAGAAACAGAAAGAGAGAGAGAGAGAAAGAGAGAAAGAGAGAGAAAGGGAGGGAGAGAGAGAGAGAGAGAGAGAGAAAGAGACAGACAGACAGACAGGCAGACAGAGAGAGAGACGGAGGGACATAGAATTGAAGAGAGATTTAAAAACTCTGCTAAAAAAAAGTTAAACAGCCATTTCAAAATGTACGCCTGGCTCAAAGTAGGTCCACAAGGGGACACAAAAAAAAGAACACCCTTCACTCCTCCTTTAGCAGACAGAAATCATCGACACAAACCCCAGACCAACAAACAACAACTTTCCCTCAGCCCCCCCCCCCCCCCCCCCCCACCCCAAACTCAACAAAGAAGCAGTAGATGGTTTGAGATGAAAGCACCCTCCCCCCCACCCCCTAAACTCTCCACAAGGCACACACACACACATCCACATCACACACACATTCACTCACACCTCCAGCGCAGAAATATCGCCTGGCTCACTCGTAATTGTAATCGTAATACTCCGAAGCCCCGATGAGACAGAACTGTTAGCAATTATTTAAAACTTTCGATGATGCTGCGATAACATAATATTTCAATCAACAATCAAAGCAGATTTTTTGCGAGGACATAGAGCTGTCCATATCAGTAGCCGGAGCGGATTATTATACAACTTGTGCATGTGTATGTTTTTCAGCGCACACTAACGGTGTTTGTGTATATATAAAAAAGAATATATATATTTATATATATATATATATCAAGAACATTTAATTCCATATCATTAGAAAGCAAATATCACAGTCACATGAAGACAGAAGCACTACTAGGCACACATATCACACGCACACACACACACACACTAGTGCACGCACACACACTAGTGCACACACACACACACAATAGCACAAATACACACACACACACACACACACACACACACACACACACACACAGTAGTGCAAATACACACACACACACACACACTAGTGCACACATACACACACACTTACAAACTGGGGGAAAAGAAACTGGGGGAAAAGAAACTGGGGGAAAAGTTAGATAGACGGACAGACAAACAGAGTAACACCCCCCCCCCCCCCTCCTCTTGACAAAACATGGCTGATGTCTACATATAGTGAAACACTTCGTCGGTTCAGCAACGGTTATCCAGTGCAGGGGAAAAGTAAGAAAGACAGACAGATAGACAGACAGATAGACAGAGAGAAGGAACAGAGAGGAGAAGAAAAGAAGACGGACCTACCAGGGGCACCCTCCAAACACTCGCAGCTAGCTTTTATAGCTGAAGTAGGGGCAACATGCGAAGACAAACTGCCAAGACAGAACAGAGAACCACTTTGAGCCAGGCAACAAATATATATATAATTACCTACATTATACATATATGAAACATCAGAATATATATGCGGGTCAACAGAACCCTTGAACAATCTACAATATATCTGAGTCAACAATCTACAACTCTACTCAATCATCAGAAAATATAAGAACAATCTTGACGCTCAAGGATTGCAACGTTTTTTTTTTTTGGAAGAGACAATCAAGGAAGAAAAAATACGGACCGTCTGGTCTCAAATGAAGCAGTACAAAACTTAACCCAACCGTGAAATCATGACAAAAATAAAATGATGTAATGTAAAGTAAATTCTTTACAGCAGCAATTGACGTAGCTACAGGAAGCAACCAACACTGTATCTATCTCTTGGGAGAACACAAGGAAAACATGCATCTAAATTAACTTGGGGGGGGGGGGGGGATTGAAAAAAACCAAAACACAACACAAAAATAAAAACCTTCAATCTCTGCAAATCAATCAAACAAACACAGGGTCGGTCAGCAAATGAGATGACAATTCCATCATGCTTATTAAAAAGAACCAAGAAAGAAGGAGAACATCTTTTTTTTTTTTAAAAGAACAAAAGGGAAGAACAGGGGGAAGAACTCTGGAAGCGAATATCACTACGCTTATCAGCAACACTTCAAGCATTTATATATAATAATTACAAGACGATAAAATCAACATTTTTTTTCTTTAAAAAAAAGTCGGCGTCTATATATAATAATATATATATATATATATATATCATGTATCACATCATTTCACAGATTTGCACGTCAGGGGCTCCCAGCTCGGAAGACCCACAGTTGTTGAATCTACACACGTGTTCCAAAAATGGGGGCGTGTGACGCTGACACGCCCATGAAATCTTTCTTCTCTCCGGTGCATTTGGCTTTGTCTGTATATTATCGTAGTATATCACATATTTACAATAGATAGAACGATGCGCTCGCATCTCAAACATCACAAAACGCTCACAGTATATCACTCCAGTCTCTCCGACTGCGTTCTAGTTTAGTTAGTTTTTTTCACTTTCAATAGAAGACTCAAAACTCAAAAGAAAAAAAGTTGATAAAGAACAAACCGTTTGATTTGTTTCTGCTTTTTGTTTTAAAAGTACAAAAAGTTACACGGAACCAAATGAAGAGGAACCCAAACAGACCGGGGGGGCAACTTTAGAGCCAGTCTCACTCACAGCATTCGCTACAACTACCACTATATTTGACTAAGTATCATAAGTCTCATGTCTCTATCCCTTCACTGCCAAGAGTGAAATGCTCGATGCTAAAGGGATTTGAAAACAACAACAGCTCTATCCCTTCAAACAACTTTCAATACCTGTGCTGTGCAGCATTTATTGAAAGTACGAGCAAGTCTTTGTACCTATGCAGACCCACTGAAAAGTTGGGAGAAAAAAAAAGCCAGCAAGTATTTCTCCATAATTCCTCCTTTGAGCTTGCTCAGTATTTCTTCCCCGGAAGTATTTCACAATTTCACAAAAACAAAAAATCCACCCTTTTTTTCATTATCTCAGAGTCATGAAATGAAGCCTGCTATCCATATATTATAATAAACCTAAACTGCAAGAGAACTTCAGCAGAGAAGGGTATAAGAACTATTTTAGTTTCAAACAAGCTGTAACCACCATAGTCTTTTGTGAACACTATGCAGTAATTCCTTATTGCAACGCGATGTATTGAGATATACGCCGCCACTATTCACAATGTCAGCAAAACCACTTCACAGCAATTTGTTGGATAGAAGAGCAATATTGGGAAGCATCACTGCGCGGGGAGTGGGGAGCGGGGGGTGGGGGTAACAGGGTACATGAAAGCACGAACTGAAATCTTTCAAAACTGGTAGAGAAAACCATGGCAGACACAAGAGCTTAGTGCACCCATCACCCGATACATCTTGTTTCCTTGTAGCGTAGCGTACGGCTAGCTCGTTTACACAAACCCTCGTAGTGTTTGCTCTGTGCTTTGCGGGCGCATGAACAAACTGCACACCCAGACAGAGCAAGAACCTTTCATCTGCAATAAATTTTCAGTGCAGATAGAACCTTCTGACTCCCCCTTCTCTGAAAGCCTTATGTACAATCAAGACCAGTCAGAGACCTTCCGCTAACAAGATCATGTCTCCACCACCAACTCCTGGCAGGCAGTCACAAGCATTTTCTGCCGCTGTGCAAATTTCACAAACTGTACGCTACACATCTGTGACAAGCATCCAGACATATCTAGGATCTCTGAGGCATTGAGCTCCCTTCTTCCCAGCTAAACCACAGACCAAACAGCAGGACTGACACAAAGACTGCAGACATAACGTTCAACATTTGACTGCAAACATAACGTTCAACATTAGACTGCAGACATAACGTTCAACATTAGACTGCAAACACAAAGTTCAACATTTGAATGCATGCACACAAAACGTTCAACATTTTACTGCAGACAGACTGTTCAACATTTGACTGCATGCAGACATAACATTCAACATTTGACTGCAGACAGACTGTTCAACATTTGACTGCAGACACAATGTTCAACATTTGACTCCAGACACAAAGTTCAACATGTGACTGCAGACTTTGCTTGAGCTCAACGTCAGACCACAGTTTTCTCTGGATGCCTGCCACAGCCAGCTGACGTAAAAGTGTGAACAGGGGAGAGGAAAGAGGTGTTGTTGTAATCTACAAATCTATCAATGTTTCATTAACCCTTAGCCTCCCGGCGGGGACCAGACAGCGGCCGCCCCAACGTTCCTCGGACTACACAGCAAAGAGGTAAAAGCGTCAACAACAATCATAAAACTAAGCACAACAGTACATCCAGTCAACAGTGTTGAACATTTGGCCGCATAAAACAGCAGCAAAAATTTCGACCGTGTAAAAAACAATGCAGTCTATTTTTAGCTTATTAAATATTACAGCGTGTAAAACAGTTCTTGTCACGTCATTGTCATCCGCGCACGCGTACGACCTTGAGACCCCCGCTCGAGGTCTGGCATCCTGCGTCAAAGTCGTCACTTTTCACCGCCGAAGATCAAAGATATCCAGGCAATCAATCACCTGATCCTTTTTCCCCAAAAAAGCCTCAGAATCGAGAGCTTAGGGGCTGAGACAATGTGTGTCTGTGTGTGTGTAGGCAGTTCCGACGAACAAACCACAACAAAATTGTAGACACATTCTCCGAGTCCAGGGTTGCCTCCCCTTGGAACTCTGCACACAGCGACACGGCAGAACCAGCGACAACCGCGACGACAGCGCCGCAACCACTTCACAGACTTGGCACCGAAGAAGACACAGGGAGAAAAAAAGCCTCATCTTTTCCTTCTGCCATTAAAGACAAAAACAAAAAAAGAAGCCATTCCTACACCCCACTACAAGTTTCACATCGCTACAACAATCCACCACAAGTTTCATGTCGAAGTTCCAAATCACTACACCCTATCAGTAGTTTCACATCGCCACACCCACCATAAATCTCACATCACTATACCTCACCACAAATCTCACATCACTATACCTCACCACGAATCTCACATCACGACACCTCACAGGAAGTTTCACATCGCAATTGTTTAGCAGCTAATGGCTTCAACTCAACAACAGGAGACAACTGCAGCGTATATTTCCGAGCGTAAAGCCGCGGGCACAGCTAACTTTTCTCCATCAGCAAAATTAAAAATTGCTTCTACAGGAAAAGATTCCAGGCCGATGTTCTACCGACATCAAACTCCCAGAGTGCCGTACACAACAAAGATCGGGTTCCACTCTACTGCTATACGGACAGCAGCAAAACTCGATTGAAATCCAGGGAAAAATTCCTCCACAACATTGCCGCTTCAGTGCGGCATCAATGCCGTTTCAATGTTGCTACAGTGTTGATTCAATGCTGCTACAATGTCGTAACAAAGTCGCTACAATGTCACTTCAGTACCGCTTCAATGTCGCTTCAGTACAGCTACAGTGCTGATTCAATGCCTCTACAATGTCGTAACAAAGTCGATGCGATGGCGCTTCAGTGCCACTTCAATGTCGATTCAATACCGCTACAATGTCGTAACAAATTCGCTTCAGTACCGCTTCAATGTCGCTTCAGTACCGCCTCAGTGCCGCTTCATGTGCAGGGACAGGTGGTCAGAGCGGGAGAAGGCACGGTCACACACCTGGCACTTGAACGGTTTGTCCCCCGTGTGTTTACGGAAGTGTCTCGTCAGCTCGTCCGACCGGGCAAACCTCCACGTGCAGCCCTCCCACGTGCAGATGTACGGCTTCTCACCTGGAAGACAAGAAGAAAAGATTTTTTGTTTTTTGTTTTCGTAAGAATTTTAAAGCACTTGCAACACAATAAGGTCATATATTATAGGTGCTGAATAATAGATAGGTTACAAGAGAGTAAAATACGGAAAAGGGAGCAGAGATAAGGATGATAGACGTTTGATAGGAAAGAAGGATTTTTTAATATAATAATGAGTATTTCATTCATGTACTGAGCCATTGTAAAGGGGAAAAAATGTCAAGGAGATAAATTTTGAAGACAAACGTTTTAGTTTTTACTTTTAGTAGAGGTTTTACGGCGCTCACAACTGCATAGGTCATATGAGCGCCAGAAGATTACAGGTGTTACAAGAGAGTAACAAACATAAAAAAGGAGAAGGGGAGATAAGGACGATAGATGTTTGATAAGAAAGAAGAAGCAAACCACACCAGAGCACCCGCCAAACACCCACTAAAGACAAATAACAAACACACACACCCGACAAACACAAACACACACACACGACAAACACAAACACACACACAAAAACACACACACGACAAACACAAACACACACACACGACAAACACACACACACACACTTCCCTCCATGACCCTGCCACTCAGCTACGCCAAACACACAAACACACACGCACAAACACACACACACACATATACACACACGCACAAACACGCAAACACACACACACACAAACACACACACACATACACACACATATACACAAACGCACAAACACGCAATCACACACACAAACACAATTACACAAACATAAACAAACGCACATACACACACAAACACTCGCACATAATCATTTTATATGAGAAGGTAATGGGAGATAATCCCTGATCTCTAATACGCTACTAGGCTAGGACTATAACCCTTGTTTATGTCCCTTACTTCAGCGGACGGGCTCATTATGACCAGTAAGTCAGAGTATGCGGCTTCAAATCCGGTTCTGCCCCCAAAAAGTAATGAATATATCATAAAACACAAATCTCTCTCTCTCTCTCTATCTCTCTCTCTCTATCTCTCTCTCTCTGTGCCTGTCTGTCTGTCTCTCTCTCTCTGTGCCTGTCTGTCTGTCTGTCTGTCTCTCTCTCTCTCTGTCTTACTCTCTGTCTCTCTCTCTCTCTC